TCCCAGATTATTCAACGCGCCGGTATCATTACCAAACACGCGAGCCGAAAAGAGCGTTGGTTGTCACCGGCGAGGAAAAATTGCCTCTGATCACGCCGACCGACAAGAATAAAAAAAGTTAAGATACCGGTTTCCCGTTTCCGTATGTTTTTCTAAAGATGAGGAGATTAATACAGCAGATATATGCTTCACAAGTGATCTTCGAGAAATTGTTATACGTTAAAAATTAATCTAATGAAATTCACTCAAAATCGATCGAATAAATCTGCGATCGACAAGAAAATCGAACAAAAACATGAAATCATGATAGATAAATCAATCATTTTTTTATTGGATTTTGTTAACTGAACATTGCCAGAACGTGCGGAAGACGTATGGAAACGTGATGTTAAGGAAATTTCACTTTCCAAAATACAAGCAACAATTCTTCAGTAGAAACTTTCAAGTAGCAAAGTTATTTTTTAACTGAACTAACTACATCGTTCAATAGAAATTGGCATGATTATTTTCAACTTCTAATGCTTTAAATATATTAACAAGCTTACAAGATCGCAACAGAACAAAACTGCAGTGATCTTCGCCGTCGATTGTGCGTGACAAGCATCACTCCATTCGGAGGAATCGCGCGACTTTCTAATTACGGCCCGTGCAATTAGCCGGGCCAGCAATTTTCGCAGAACACGGTTACGATAATAATCGAATCCGTAGCAAGTTACAATTCGCCAGACGTGGCCCGGAAATGACGTTCGTCGTTTTACCCGTCGCTTTCTACTTTCAGAACGCACGAAAATTATCAAGGATCTAAAAACAGCTTGTCAATGAAGTATCATCAATTTTTCAAGTGTAACAGCGAATTAGTAATCTACACAATCGTGTCCATAATTTTTGTTTGAAGTATACAAGTAACAGTAAAATAGAAAGAAATTATAAACGATTAATATTGTTAGTATTACTTTTACCAACATTGTAATTGTATTTCTATAACGAAGTTCAATATCCACAATAATTATTAAGAAAAAAATTAAATAATATTTCGCTAAATTTTTAATATTTGGAGTGAAAAAAAAAGATTCAAGTTTTTCTCATTTTCGATTCACTATTGAAAGGATTGAGGAATCGTATAGAGATTGTACGATGGTAGACAACAACGGTGGAGAACAACGTCGATGCATCGAACGAAACTCATTGAAGCTTCCCAGGAATTCGAAATTGATGGGGTTGAGATCGAGGTGCCGTTTCCTGGACAGAACTCCCCACTTTACCACTCGACAGGTCAGCTTAGTTGATAATGGGATTGACCCTCCCCCGAAGGAGAACGAAGTAGTGAAGCTGTCAAGGAAAAGGGATGACACTTCGCGTCAATGGTGTATCGCAAGTCCTTTGATCGCGCCGATAAACTGGTAAAAGATTCTCGGGTCGTTGTTTCTCCGGTAATCTGATTAGATCAAAGCATCCACGCCGTTCCCGAAAATTACCGAGGAATCATCAATTTCTGTGGCTTTTCTTCACAGCTTAGCCAACCCTCATTGACTTAATAAATTGCTCTCTCTCTCATGCTGGAATATTTCCATCTTCTCATCATATGAAATTAAACTAATATGGGACTTTTAGGCCCCATATTCTTCGTATCCACTATGCTTATCTTCAAATTCAATTCTAATATGATAAAAATATAAAATTACTTATATATATGATTTGTATCAGGTATGCAAACATATATATTATTATATATATATATATATATATATATATATATATATAACGTAAATGTATAAATTTGTTAAACGGCCATTCATCGTTAGTTAAACGGCCATGCCGTAAAGTCAGTGACTTCGAAAACGTAAGGAAGAGAGAGGGAGAGAGAGATAGTAGGAGGAGAAGAAGCATAAAAAAAACACGGTAGAGTGTGATTTTCTTCTTCACTTTCTCTTTCTCGAGCTATTTTAAACGTCTTTATAAGTTTTGGCTGTTAACACGACCGTCGGAGCAGGTACAGCCTTTTTTCAGTACCTGTTTTCCTCGTATCTGTCGGATCTCTCAGATAGCTAGACGCTTATCCATGGAAGACTGATGAAGCAATGATCGGTCGAACAATACGGCACCGAAGAGGCTCCTCTGTTCAGAGACTATAGCATCACCGCTGATTTGTGTCTTGTCTCACTTCGGCTGTCTTTCCCGAAGCATCGCTTCGGGGTTACTCATGAGCGCAGATTAGTTCTTCCTTTTAGCAGATTATGTCTTTCTTTTTCTCTGTGTGTTTATTTCATCCGTGAGCCGAAGTTTTAGCTTCTAACACTACGGAGGTATAATCTTGTCCGCAAACTTACAATGTGTCGAGCATTTAAAATTCTAGCTACCTGAATTTTCAAACAGATGGATTCCGGTGGAATGAAATATAAAAAGGAGTAGTAGTGGCAACTCTGTGATAGAAGTACGTGTGTAATTAAATGTTACTTATATGTGCTGCAAGAAGAAATAAAACGTCAAACGTTACTACCGCGCGCGCATGGTGGTGGAATAAATAATTAAATGTTACGAACGCGGCGCGCGCAGTAACGACCACCTCGCGACGCGATGTTCGCGCCCTTACGTTACCGAATCATTTCTGAGTTGGGGAGAGGAGCCGAGATTGACAGGCGGCGATGGTTAAGGAGGGTTTAAGGGGGTTCCAGGACAATGCGAATCTGTAATTATAAGCGCGCCGGTCTTCTGCTTTCGCTCCTTTTTTTCATGTAAAATCTCTTGCAGCCCAGTATTATCGCCTTAAATCAACAAAGCCGCTCCTCCGGTCCGGAGGTAGTTCGGCGGAGGGTACGACGAAGAATGGGGGGTGAAGAAGGGAGAGCGGCGAAGGATGGTTAAGATCTGGAGGGGGAGTAGGAGGGCGGCCTGTAGCTGCAGCAGGCCACGGAGGGACTTTAATAACAGGTCTCGCTTAATAACCCACGTCCCGTAAGGCCCAAACTGAATGTCATTGCAGTAGATTCGATCACGTGAGTCGGCACTGTCGGTACGGCAAAGGGGCGTAACGATCGATGCGGACTCGCGCGAGATAGTGTAGAATCGGGAGATTCAGCGGCAATTTTTCAGTCGATCGGTTTCACCAGGTTTCGTAAGATAAGTCAAACTCTCATTGTCCATCAAGCGATCTAATGACGTTATTATAGAGCACACAAAGCTCTTCAATAACATTTTTATTAAAGCAGCATGTTTTCTTCAATTAAATTTTACTTTAATAGTACAAAATTATAGTAATTAACTTTTTAACTTGAAGCGCGTATATGTTGCTGTTTCTTTCTAGTGCTGTCATCTGAAACTATATTCGGTAAACTTCTCATTTTCTAATGTCGGTAACTTACCAAGCACAGGTGTTTCCTACCTAATAACATAAGTCGGCTTTTAAAGTGACTCTATAAATCTATTAAATGTACAAAATTTTGAAACGCCATATAGATTAATCATGGCTTTTTCTTTAAATGCTTAAAAGCATACGCAGCGTCTAATAAATCGCATCCTACACAGCCAGTAAAATAGCCCTTTGAGAACTTTTTGAGATAAGTTGAAGACTATCTTAAATCAAACAATGTCCCTAATACTGTCCCTAATAATACTCGGATGTACTTTGGATGCTTTCTAGCAATGAACATAGCTATTTCATTGACACTGCATTATCTTCAAATGATACGTAGCTAATCAAATAGTCCTATTTTCCTCGCTGAAAAGCACCTATTGATTAACTTTTTTTTGCACATTGTGCGTAATTGTGATACTTTTTAAGGGTCTACCAAAGTCATAAGTACCTAAGGTTTAGAGTTCACTGCTTATTTATATAAAGCGTCATCATTATCTCAATTTCTAGGTAAAGAAAATGGCGTCTCGTAGCGGAGGCTTTGGAACCAATTTACAAAAATAACAGTTCTAAGGCTAATATTATATGTGTCTTACGATAAGTATTGTCGATCGTGTCGATTGGCTGATGGATAAAATTCTCCTAAAGTCTTTAGCTTTTTCTCATGTACCCCAGATATTATTTGACAGTCAATTATACATGACAGCATGTAATATTAACTTAAGGAATAGACCCGTTATTTCTATAAGTATTTTGGTCAATACAGATGCTGTTTATAGCCATCACTACTCAATTCCTTATTAAAGAAAGTGGCGTTTAACTTTTGCGTCGTACTACTTGATGATCAAAATCTGACGGCACTGTTCAGCTATACTACGACCGCGATTTTTCGTTTTTCATACTTCAAATATTATTTCTTTTATGAATAGTTTGATGTTTTACTGGAAATGCTATTTTGTATGTATAATATTTGAGACATTATTCATGAGAAAATGCTAAGAACAGTTCAACTTTTTTATTTTGTTTATTACAATTAACGCAAGTTGAGCAAAATATCGACACTAGTTATGTAAGTCAAAATACTTCATATATATTCCCACTCTTATGTCGATATATCGAGAAGTATCGATAGCCATCTATGAGCTCTATGCCGAATGTAATGTGTAAGTTTATTTAAGCCATACCGAAGTTAACGTGCAAACGTGAATTTAATAAGAACAAAATATACAACAGTTTAATTAGATATCGCAAAATGTTGCGAATATTTTCGATCCCTTTCCGACAAACGCTATCAAGAGCAAACAAAATATCGCAGGTAAAAATAGATAATAAATAATTAGAGGTTAGGTCACGGTTTGTTATTTAACGGCAAAAAACATAAATCAACAAAATAATCAATTGTTATGTGAAGAGAAAAAAATAGCAATAGTAAAACATTTGATTGAAACATAAAACTAGCTTAAAAATATACATGTACATTTAATTATTTAACTCATTATATTTCAACAATCCGGACTAAATTCCTTGGTTTAAATTATTGGTTATAGTTTTGCAAGACATAAGTCGCAATATACAATAATAAGTGTTTATCAATATAAATTTAATAAAGTTCAAAATTGATTTAATAAGAAATTGTTTTGTGTTTATTTAGGAAGTGCCTACATGTAGATATATTCATTCAGTTAGCCAAGTAAGAGGGATTCCCAAACACAATTCTTTGCTAAATCTGTACAGTAACTATCGAGTTACAGGAATCCCTTTGGTTCGCTATGCTAGCACTAATAAGGAGACATCAGCACAAATTAATCCATATGATGAAATACCAGGTACTTAAAGACTGTTTTAAATTAATATCCCGTTTTAAATCATGTCCCTTTAATATCATGTTGCTTTAATATTTTATCATGATATTTATTGAACTATGCCTAGAGAATTGCAATAAATAAATTGTAATACCTATAATTTCTCTCATTGTTTGATAAAATTGAGTTATAATTATTAATGCACGAGAAAAAATTAAGATGTAAAAATTTGTTACTTTACTGTATGTTAATTTGCAATTAAAAAATTTGTAGATCCTCCAACACCAATAGAAGAAATAATAGAGGAAATTGTAAAGTATCATCCAAATGGAGAGATAACTTTTCAGAGCCTTGGATTAGGTGGTTACACACCAGTTGGACTTGTACAAAATGCCTTGGAGTGCATGCACATAAGCTTGAATATGCCATGGTGGACCACAATTGTCATAGGTATTTCTCTTTTCATTACAAACTTATGAGAAGCTTGATTAACGTAAAATTATATTAATCTAATAAAGGTTCTAATATAATTTCTAATCCTAATTTTAATATGTACTTATTAAAACAACTTTAATGATTCTAGGTACTGTTATTTTAAGGTGTCTCATATTTCCTTTGGTAATATACTCGCAGAAAAATATGGCCAAATTTACTAACCATTTGCCAAAAATACAAGAACTACAAGCACAAATGACAGAAGCTAGACAAAGTGGTGATCATTATGAAAGTATGTAAATAAAATTTTGTAAAGAAGTTTTATTTTGTAAAACATCTCGATAGATAGGATTCCCAATGACCGATAAAAAGAGTAATGTTCAATTCTTACAAACAGGTGCGCGGTGTGCAGCTGAGCTAGCGGACTACATGAAGAAGAATAATATTAAAGTGGGCAAGAATTTTTTGGTGCCATTTATTCAGGTATGCTGCTACGCGTATGCACGCGAAAAACTAAGAAGACGAAACTGAAAATAATTTCTTAATTACCTTTTATCTCTTTTAGGGGCCAATCTTTCTTTCCTGCTTTTTAGCTCTGAGAAAAATGGCAAACCTGCCTGTGGATAGCATGAAAGAAGGTGGCTTTTTGTGGATGCAGGATCTCACTATGCACGATCCTTATTACATAATGCCAATATTCACATGCGTGACGTTATATATTACAATTGAAATAGGAGCAGATGGCACTAATATTAAAACATTGGGCATGATGCGATATGTATTACGAGTAATACCTTTTGCTATATTGCCATTCATGATAAACTTTCCTGGTGTAAGTATAAACTGAGTGCTAAACGCTTAGGTGTTTCTTCATAATATCAAAATTGCACTCTCATAGCCAATGTAAAAAATATTACATCTGAGACCATTTGTCCATGTCACGAAAATTTCGTTTAAGTAGTAAGTCGTAAGCATTTTGCATATTTCAGCAAGTTCATTTTTCCATATTTATTTGTAGGCTATTTTGACGTATTGGGCATCGACAAACTTTATTTCCTTGATACAAACTAGTATATTAAAAATCCCACGAATAAAAAAGTCTCTTAAAATACCTGATATACACCATGCTCCAAAACCAAAGAGTAAAAAGAACTTTATGGAAGAAATAAAGCAATGTAAGTATACTGTATTCTATGATATTATGTAAAAATGTATCAGTATGTTGGAACAAAAATAATCAATGTAATTTTACAATGTGAGAGCAAAAATCATTTAATGTGCAAACATTGATGTTGATTTGGTTTCAACTTTGTACAACATAAAAATAAAAATATAAATAATCATATATATATATATATAAGTGATCAGATGAGTTTATAAAAGAAATTACACATTGCATTCTCTATACAAAAAGCATAAGATATTAAACATAAGTAATATTTCTATAACAGCTTGGACGAATATAAAAATAACGAAGCAGATGTCTGATAGAGAACAAGCGGACGTAGTACAGTTCAATGCTGCTGGTAAGGGCCCTATAGTGAAGACATTTAAATATGATCCGACAAAACAGAAAGAAACGACTGTGCTTACAAAAGGTAGATAATAATTTCATTAAAAATAAAAATGCGTATTATATTTAAGTATTTTATCACTTAATGTGTGACATAATAAGTTGATTTATTGTAATTGTAATAAAAGAAATTTTATTTAATATACAATATTCTCCCCCTTGTATTTAGCCTTATATTTAACAAAATATAAGAGATTATTCATTAAACTATGTGATACGAACTTAATATATATTTTTTGCTCATATTTATGTTATGTATATAAAAATTAGAAGTATTATGTACGTATATAGAAGAATATAATACACACACATATATCTTCATATAATATAATAAAGAAAATCCACAATATATTAATTAAATGAAAGCCACATGAAATGCCAAATAAAATTAAAAATTAATTAAATGAAATGTGTATCAAGTAATTTTATTAAATTTTAAAAGTAAAATAATATTTCTTTGAAAATTTATCTTTTTGTTTATGTATATATATATATATATATATTTATCTAATCTATAAAGAATATATCAGCTGTACAAAGAAATATTTGAAAGTTTTACTTTCATTCTGTGTGTTATTGAAACGAATGTTCTTCTTCCGGACTGAGTGATCTTTCGATATTTTGTTGCGCAACAAAGACATTCTGCGTTTTTGTTGTAAGACCTGTTTGCGCTACCGATGTGGTGTTAGTATGGCTACTGGCAGGCATACATACTACAACCAATTTAGGCGTAGAATTCGGCACATGAGCCTTCTGTTGACCGACATTAGTTTGCGCCAATTTAACCTGTTGCTGCTGTTGCTGTTGCTGCGTTTGCGGTTGCTGTTGCTGCTGCTGCTGTTGAATTGTACCGGTACTGATATTGGAAGCGGTAGGTGTCTGCGAGCGTGACTGTAGAATGACAAATTTCTGTCCACCAGCGGTGGAAGCACCGCTAGCACTTCTACTAGCACCAAGCATGATCGTGCGGCCAGTTTGCTGCCCCGGACTGGAACTGGGAACTAAAAGATAACACATAAAGCATAAGCATCATATTTGTTTAATAGTCGAAGTAAATCGATACTTTTGTTCTGTATACCTTAGCATTTATATGCGAAAACTTTGTCAGTTGCAGTTGGCTTACCTGTTTGCATAAGTGTTTTTCCCGTACAATTCAAACTTTGTTGCTGATTCGTGGTTAGTGCTGTAGTTGTCGCGGCAGTGGTTGCTAAAGCAGACAGTTGTGTGCGAGCTTTCGCAACCGCTGTACATAACGCGGGACCTATATAGCCATAATCCTGTTTGTAATCCTCCACGTAATCTGGTGGCGATCGTATTGTTTTCAAGACTGGAGCGACACATTTCTGAAAAATTGCCTCTAACTTTCATATGTAACATTATTGATATAAAATAAGAAGTACAAAGTATGATTGACAGAGTGCGAATAAAATATCTTAATTAACTTCTGAAGGCTATTACTATAAGCAAAGTTTTGATATGTCCTGCAGCATTTTTATCCATGTTAGTTAATCCTTGGCCTTCAATGCATGATTCAATGCGATCAGAGATGGACTTAATTTTAGGGACAACCAAGGACTTGATTACTTCTGGACCCAATTCATAGAGCCCTTCAATTGCTCCATAAAGCGACGCCAATGGTATCTACAAGAAATTGATTTTTAGTATCACAAAATGGAGTGTTTCAAAAGCTGATTTCTTAAAATTAACATTTTTATTTCTTAATATTTTGTACCTTACTTCTTCATTTAAGTTATGTGACTGTTACCTGATTGTTCTTTGCTAATGCTTGACTAAACATACGAGTGACCCTAGTTTGCACATTATTAGTAGTGGTATTAAAATTTTTACATATTTGTGACATTAGTCGGGAAGCAAAATCTCGTAATGCCCAGTGATTGTCCACTTCCGGCTTCATGCATAATTGTCGAGAAACTATGCAGGTAGCAACTGATGGTATCAACTCGTGAAGCTAAAGAAATTACGAGACATTATTGCATCAAAATACGATGACATTAACACTAATGGAAGTTTTAAAAATCTTACATATTTCTCCAGGTAAAGACTCGGGTTTTCGAGCAGAGCTTTGACCATACGCATGAGGTAGATAAGCAATGCAAGATGATTTTGAACCACGTTAACTCGCACGCCTTCCGCAATGAAAGTGCACATACGTGCCAGCATTTCATGTAAACCTGGATCCGCTGAAAGAGACTGAAGAGCCTCGGCTCTACGAGCCTCATCGGATCCGACACAAGCCTCAGTTATTTCCTTGTAATAAAGTTGTTGTTCTACACTAAGCTCATGCGTAGCGAGCTGTTTCACATGCACAGTTTCTACATTCCGCAGTTTCTGACTTTTGCCACCACCGCCTGGTTTGCCGACGCCAATGTTTTGGTTCTTGTTGGAGAGTTTAGTAGTCGGATCGACGCTTTCGAGCTTTTGGACATCTATTAACATGTCATAATAATAACAAATTATGCTTTCATATATTACATTTTTAGCAATTTTAGATATTGTATAAAGATTTTTTTATCTTAGATATTGTATAAAGATTTTTTTATCTTAGATATTGTATAAAGATATTTCTTATCTTAGATATTGTATAAAGATTTTTTTTTAATAACATCATAAAAAGAAAAAAAAGAAGACCTTTTGATACTGGTGGTGGATTTTCTGGTATAGTAGGTTGCACTCCATCAATGCACAACCAATGGGCACGCAATGTAATTTCCAGAGGCAGCTTGGGCCATGCTTGTCCACCAGTCATAGATACAATCTCATTAAGATCGATTTCCTTCTCTTCTACAAAATGTAACTCTCTACCACCACCTGATGCGAAGCGGAATGGTATATGGTCTTTGGCATAAAATCCATATGTTGGTTCGATATTCCTGACCTTCAGTGAATGATCAATATCATAAGTAGTCATTCGTTTACGTTTACCATGTCTCATAAATTTTGCTGCATCCTATAATATTCATGTTTAATATTAAAACTAGTCTTATAGAAAAAAAAAGTATAAGTCATCACAAAGTATATTAAATACTTGATGTAACAAACCTGAACGATTTCTTTCAGCCTGTAGCTCACATCTTCTGCAAGTTCCTTTGCAGCTTCATCAGGAAAATTGCCAACGCCAATACTTTCCGCTATGACTTTGATAGATTCTTGAGATAATGTTGTTCCATACATGGACTCGCCTTCACTCATTTTGAAGTTATTTTAGATGTCACACTTCATATAAACATTAGAATTTCATTTTACCAAATGGCAACAGTAAAAATGTAATCAAACAATTAAGCGCTTACTAAACGCTTACTAAACGCTATTTCCTGATTTCAATTGAGTTACCCTAGTTGTACTATGCGTTGTAAAGTTGTATCTTTACAGAAATATTACACAATGTTCTTTACAATTAATTAATTGATTCATTACAGATATAACTGCAATTCATAAAGAACTTGTATATAAACAACGCTACAGAGTTACAATTTATAGGTTATGAATCACTTTTTTTTCACACACAAGCTGCGCGGAACACCAGCGCAGACTGTGTCTGACTGTGCTCCACTGAAATATAACTATCTGCAACGCGCGCTGCCTCGTGAAGACTGCGGGATGAGAGAGAAGTCCCTGTTTCCTCTATTATACTTGTCTGATTCATAGCATAGTCGAGAGTGGGGAGAATGTGACATTCTCCTCATTCTCGACTATATTATGAATCAGACAAGTATAACAGAGGAAACAGGGACTTCTCTCTCATCCCGCAGTCTTCACGAGGCAGCGCGCGTCCAAGTTCGGGGAGCACGCTACTAACGCTACCGTGTTCTTCTATCTTTATCGCTCCTTAGATATTCAACAAGAATAGAATGACACGGTAGCGCCGAATAGCGCTAATAGCGAGTTCCCCGAACGCACCTATAGTATATAGATTTGTTTTTTGTTTTTGCTCTGTGCTGAACTGGTGCAATAAGTTAGAGCGAGAAAAAATATACTTATCTCGCTCTAACTTATTGCACCAGTTCAGTACTGCAGGAACAGAAAACAGACCCTATATTCAATGCTGTGCTCAGCTATGTAGACATAAGGTCTGTTCTTTTGCTCTGCACTGCTGCACTGGTGCAAGTTAGAATGAGACAAATATATATTTGTTTCACTCTAACTTATTGCATCAATGCAGCAATGCAGAGCGAAAGAACAGACCTATGTATACTTTGAGGAGTTTCTACTTTGAGCAACCTGAAGGCCTGTTCTTTGTAGCTGTACTGCTGAACTGATGCAATAATATTAAAGTGAGACAAATATACGTTTTCTCACTCTAATTTATTGCACTAGTTCAACAGTACAGCTACAAAGAACAGGCCTTGAGATTCCTATTTATGCATGTGAAATATATATATAGTTTATGTTATGTATATTATAGATTTTCAGTACAGTGGTAGTAAATGCCCTTTTTCAGCAAAGAACACGGTGTTACACAAAGCCATTTTGTTGGCTATACATTATCTAAGATAGCCTCTGAGATAACAAGTAGCTGATAAAAAAACTTTGGCCCATATTCTGAATCCTCGTTTATCGATAAAAGTGTCTTAAATGTAGTTTTTTAGCCAATCAGGTGTCTCCTAAGCTTTTTAGAGATACTTTTATAGATAAAAGAGGATTTAGAATATGGGTGTAACAAGGTGTCCCTTGCTGGAAAACGATTGATATTGGAATGAAGCCATTGATATACATCATACAGTCTGTTTTCTATTGCTGAATTAGTGTACACTTTCGGAACTTAAAAAGCAACAAATATACAGATAAAATTTGGTGGAAGAAAGAAGAGAGAGAACTAGTGCAGCAATTGAAAACAGACCCCTCGACAGATGTCTCGGCATGCACAAAAAATTAGGGAATATACAACAAACCTGACAGATTCAAGTGGCCTTGAATCTACATTAAAACTGTCAAAAACGGTCTTCATGAAAATGAAGATAGTAATCATAGTAATTGGTTAGGTAACGATTAGATAATTTCAATTGATTATTGTCAATAGGATTATTTTTTGTCAATATGCGACCAAAAAATTCAAAAGTAAGTTTTGGTAAATCTTGTAATTTACTTTAAAAGAGCGAAATCATACAGCGATGAAAGTTTCTTCTATTATATATGTGAAAAAAAAATCTTGCATTATAAAAATATGTAAAAACAAATTTGATAATTAAAAAATCGAAAAGTGATCTATAAAAATTAATATAACTTAATATAACTTAAAATTAATATAATTAATTAATGTAATTAATTAATATAATTAATTAATATAACTTAAAATTCAACGAGTTCTTGTGTGATATTCTTCAATTTTATGTAACATATTTTTATTGAGGAAAAATTTTTCATATTTTTCTAAGAAGAAAGATGAAGGAAATGAGACAGACGCAATATCCAAACATGGTCCGTTTGACCCATTTTCTTTTGAGATTAAAGATGCAGAAACAGCGATATTGTTATTACAATCCAAAGAAAAATCTATTCTATTAGCAACTGTAAAAGCATTATTACAATATGCCAGTAAATCAAAGGATAACATAAAAATACTTTTTGATCTTGGCATCGTAAAGAATATTCTTCCTATTATTGAACATGAAGATATATTTACTCGAAGGTTAGTATTAGACGACATTAAATTTTTTTTTTAGAACATTAAACATAATTGAAATATATTCTTTTTTTATATATCCGCATTTTCTATATTCTCAGTGTATACCTATCATAATAAAATACATGTTTGTTAAACTTTCATATTTATTCTTATATTTTGTACAAATATAGATTTGCTGCAAAACTATTGGTAGAAATAATAACGGTACCGGATGTGACAGCCTATTTAATCGAATCTAATTATTTACCACATTTTGCGAAGTTATTAACGGCTGAAGAAGATATCTTCATGCAAGAATACTTTTCCGCAATACTCGTAAAGTTATCCAAAGATCCATGCGGCATAGCGCTATTAGTAGAATATTGTTCAAATATGGATTTTCTCTTTGAAAAGATACAATCTTCAGATCCAGATGTAAAAAAAAATAACATAGAGATTCTATATAATATAATGCAAGATCCCGTAGGTGCATATAAAATTTTGAAATCTCAGGTTTGTTGAAGTTATGATACTAATGAAACATTTTTTATTTAAAGATTTACAACTTTTGTTCTACCATTTTTAGCAGTTTAACTTTCCCTTGTTATTTCAACATTTTGAATCATCGTATCCGGAGATTCAGCAACATGCGCTAATTATAGTTGCTACTATAATCGGGATAAACAAAAATGAAGATGTACAATCTTTATTCTTCAAAGAAAACGGAGTTCAAACTTTATTGAATTTTTTAAAAGTAAGTAAACAATTTTAGTATTCTTAGATTCTTTGTCATCTGATTGCCTGAATTTCATTTAATTTTAATTTTTAATTTTTATTTATTGTTAAGAATGATGAGTGGAGTGATTTACACGTTGAAGCTTTAAGAATATTAAATCGAGCTGCTGAGAATCCATCAATTACGAATGAATTTATTAACAGTGAAGGTATTCCACTAGTGTTAAACTACATAGAAAACGCAGCGAGTTCTGAACTTTTTACAGAAGCTTTCAAAGTCATTGCGCATATTACTAATACTTCAGATGGAAGAAAAGTAATATTACGTAATATAAATAAAGTATATTCAACTTATGATTAAAATAAAATTAAATAAAACGTAGTATTAAATTATGTGTAATTATATATATACATGTGATTTATATTACTTTTATAGATTCTACATTCACATAAAGTGGTTGGATATTTAATAGACACTTTAGAACGATCAATACAATCTGATATAGTTGAAATTAGTTGTCATGCAATTGGAAAAATGACACTTTATAATCCCGCTGCGGAAGAATTCGCAAGAAGGAAATCCATTGGAATTATTTTAGGTTGTGTAATTGAAAATACTTTTAATATAATTGCATATAAAGTAGAAAATTAGAAAAATTATATTACATTATTATATTATTATATTATATTATATTATTCCAGACGTACTGAAAAAAGAAAACTTACAATGGTCCGCAAGACACACTGCATGTTACGCACTCAAACAATTATTGACGAGCAATATTAGAAATTGTGATATTTTTTTGAGTCTTCATGGACAAGTAATTGTATTATAATAAGTCACATATTTTCCTCTCTCATATACATACTTAATGATTCTTAAATGCAATAGTAGAAAAATAATATATCGCAAAGATAAGACGTGTGTATATCTATTTATATGTATATCTGCAAAACTACAGATATATAGATTATCCTAAAATATTTTATTTTATTTTATTTGTTTATGAATGTGTCAAAATATAATATTTTTTGTTTGGTTTAAGGATTATCTGTTACAACTGGTGAAACAGTCTAAGAAACAAGTTCCCATAGAAATTTGCATCATAGCTCTTGAAGCTTTGATTGTCGTAGCGCGTCATTCATCTCTTAGAAATTCTTTAATTAATTTTGACACCATCGACACAATTTGCTTATTTCTGGAGGTAAAAGCAGCATTTGACTTGTTCATAGAGAATACTGAATCTCGAGACCGATGTTCACAATAATTATTTCGAAATATTCAATTTTCCAGTCAACTTATCCACGCGTTGACGAATTTAAAATTGCTTGCTGCAATCTATTGTCTGTGTTATGTTTGGAAAAGAATGGAAGACAATATTTTCTTGAAGCAAATGGTCCCGAAAGATTATATACTCTTGTTACTGACGTCTATTCGATTCCAATAAGAAACTCCGTGGTGCAGCTGATACAGACGATTTCTACAGATTTAATTGTGGCCGATGCTTTTATAAAAAGCAAATACTTACGATAGTAAATTCGTTGCTTTCTCTTATATTTTTATTGCAATTTCTATCTGTTAAATATCTGTAATAGTCAATGTAATCACATATTGCAGCATGTTAAATAATCGCTCTTCTGCAAGAATCATTCCTTCATGGGATACTTGCATAGAGACGCTGTTTAAATCGCACTTACCAGCTAAATTTGCTTTCACGGGCCGCTTGTCTCTACACGATGTTACTCAAGACGGATTTTATGTTTTACGGAAAGGCATATGTCCGTGTGTAAATTTGCAACATTGTGTAACGACTATATGATGGATTATCAAATTTGTCAAAAAACTGGCTTATTATTATTAATTGACTTTTTTAGATTCCCAGCTTTAGATGAGATTTTTCGGCTGAAATGTTCTCCGATAGAACCTATTTATACAGTAAACTGCTCACGACCATCAACACCGTCAAACGCTTTACAAAACGAAACATCTTTCGAAGGTAATATCTATGTAAATGTTGAACAATATATACAAAATTAAAACCAGTCGGAATAATAATTCAGTATCAATGTTTTCCAATAATAAAGATAATATTAAGGCACGTCATGTATTTTACTTTTTATATAAAAAATGTAGAAGCTGGACTTTTTTAGTAAAGAACATTGAAAAAGAATATTTTTGATCGCAGGAGATATAAATTCACAGCTTGAATTAAAATACGGACGATTACAATACGATCCATATTTGGTTGAATATGTGGAGCTCTTTAAATGTATGCTTTCAACAACGGAATCAAAAAATGTGTTAGTAGAGTTTTCAAAAAATTTGATTTAAATTGAAAATTTGATTTAAATTGATTTCACGAATCTTATATTATCTTATAGCTGTTTATAGTTGTACGATAGATATTTATATACAACATATTATATACAGTGCGACGGCTTTAGATATTGGGTTGACAAACATCCAATATATTTCTTCACGTTCAAAAATGCTAGCACGTTTTGTGGCCCGTCAAATGTCTGGTTTCGATCCAGAGAACAAATGCATCCCATATCAGCTTGAAATTCATTTAAAAGAGATTAAGGAGCACTTAGGAACAAATGTGATACCACTTGGGCAACTTCGCCTAGGCTCTTACCTTGAAAGAGCCCTACTATTTAAGGTGATAGCTGATAAAATATGTCTTCCAGCCGCTCTCGTACGAGGAGGATACGGTATATCATGGATCGAAATAGCCATACCTCAAGTAATATTAAATGCTTACATTAACGGTATGTTCTCTTTCGTCGTGATACTATTTCATTAAGTGTTTTATAGATTGAAGATTCAAATGAAGAGAGATTCAGGATTCCTAGTACTTGTCTGTTTGAAAACTCTGAATATCGTTCAAAAATAATTACGTCTATTTCTTCAGAATTATCAGACAAATCAGATACTCGCTTATATAAGTATAAGACAGAAAAAGTGTCTTTCCCACGTGATGATCAATCGACAGTTTATCCAATCAAACACATGAAACCGAATTTCATCGTTGATTTGATGGATACGCCAGGTGATTTAATCCCAATTGGAAGTCCACGCTCGAAGCTATATTGTACTGCCAAGTTGACTTGTGATAAAAAATATTGTCAATAAAAAATGATTTGCTTTAAGTCATCCATACTTCAATCTATACTTCAGTGTTTTGATTTTAGACTAGAACAACATAGGCGTTACGTGCACGTCAACGTTTAATTTTATCATTATGCAGAAAAAAGCTTTGTCGTGTAACTAAATGGGCCTAAACGAAAATTCGATGTCGAAAAATGATATTTCTATTACAGTGATCAAAAATATTCGTCTGAATATTTAGTTGTATTAAAATGTGGTTAAGATAAATGAGAACAATTGATTGAGTAGAAATTTCCTATAAGAATCCATTTTCTCAACCGTGTTTTCTGTCTGGCCCCTATTCTATCCAGGCAACAGAAAAATCATTTATACTAACAAATAGTTATTTTTTCCGTGTAACATACACATCAATCTCCTTATCATTAGCTAATTAATTCTTTGCATATAATGGTATGTGCTTATACTTGCCTTACGTGAGAGAATGTTAACAATCTTAAAGTACATCTAACTCTACGACTATATAAATGCAGTCCCATTCTTTAGCATAATGACATGTGAAATATCCGCTCAGGCGCATCATATCTAAATATTCGTACATCGTAATTATCTATTATTAATCAATTATTAATCAACAAACGTAACTGTATGTATTTCAAAAATATTTAAATTTATATTTTTAAAGAGAATTTATATAATTTATAAGATTTATATTTTGAAATATTTAAAGAGTAATATATACATATATTTTCTCATATAATATGTATATATATATATATATATATATATATATATATATATATTTATGAACGAAATTATTTCTCAACAATTTTGTTTTTCAAGTTTCATGCGTGAAAGTTTAAGTAAAACTTAAGTTCTTCATTTTACAATTTTTTTATA